TATTGTAGAAAATTTAAAAATAAAACAAGAATTATTCAAAAAGTTAGATGAAGTAGCGCCAAGGTGAGAATATATGCAGAAATATGTATGATATTAGACTGTACATGCTTGTATATAGTAATATTGGACAGAGAGCTAAAAAGTATGATTTATTTACAGCTGTGCATATATTTATTGAATCTGCACTTTCGTACCGATAAAAAAAGTATTACTACCATACTGTTCTAGCCATACAATTTTCACTAGTAATACATCATCGTTACCAATTACTGCTATAGCTGAACTCGTACAACGGAAAGATAAATTTGGGGGTTTACATTTCTTCAATCCTGTTCCGGTGATGAAACTTTTAGAAGTAAGAATATGCATAGTGTCAAAAAAACATCGTATTCACCTCGTATTTTATAGGTGATACGAACATCGTCTACGAGTGATGAAACATTTCAAACGCTGATGGATTTCGGACAAGCACTTGGAAAAACAACGGTCAGATGCAAAGATACACCCGGTTTTATTGTTAATCGTTTGTTGGTTCCATATTTAATGGAGGCTGTTCGAATGATTGAACGAGGAGATGCCACGCCAGAAGATATAGACACATCAATGAAACTTGGAGCTGGACATCCCATGGGACCTATAGAATTATTGGATTATGTTGGGTTGGATACGAGCAAATTTATAATGGATGGTAAGAAATAGAAGCACCTGTTGACAATAGTAGTAGTTCAACTGCGCTAATATTGGACGCTCTTTCACAGTATCTGTGTTTTTAACTTTTGTGATAATGAGATTTTATTATAGCTCAAATAGTCCTACTAAATGTATAGATCAATACTAAGACATCTGGTTAAAACTGATTCGATTCCTTTAGAGTTAGTTCTTTGACTGTAAAGTACTTTTAGTTGCCTTTATTTTTTCTGCTTTCTAGGATGGTCAAAACAGTATCCAGATGAACCATCATTCAAACAAAGTCAACTTCTGACGAAAATAGTTTCAGAAGGAAAATTCGGAAAAAAAAGTGGTGCGGGTTTTTACAATTATCAACAATCGAAGCAATAAAAAGTCCATGATCGTACAGCTCAGACATATTCTGTCGCTGATTTTTGTGATTTTTATGTGAGAATTAAAATTAAGGGATTTATTGTTCGAGCTTTTGAGATCTTTCCAAAGTATGTTAGCAGTTAATTTTCTTTTGATTTAATTGTTTGATTTACTTCTTCATACATTTCGATAGTTAAACATTTTTTTTTAGACGATAAACTAATTTATATTTTATCTACAGCAGCTGTTGAAAGAGGTGATTATATTTGGCTGAAGCATTACTTTTCAACAATTTAGTTTTTAAAAATTTCCAAGCATGTCAACTATCAATCAATAGAATGGAGTGTTTTATCTACAAACCTATCTCACTCGAGAAAAAAGTATAAAAAATGTGATTTGCGGTCTATCATCACGTTCGATCACCTCCACTGGTAGTATAACTATAGCAATATATCCCACCATCATCTGAGAAGATATTATACCATTTCTTGATTGCCCTGACGTAAATGGGAATAATCAGAAAAGATGAGTTTGAACAATCAAATACTTAAAAAGTTAGACTCAACGAAAAATATTGACCAAATATCGCTATATACAAGAATTTTACTATCAAAAGTTTTAGAACGTTATTTCAAGATTTCTACTGATGTTTTAGCCTTTTTTGACTCAATTTGTGCGTCTCAAGAACTATTGAATAACACATTT